TTTTCACCAATTAACTGGTTTTAGTAAGGGTTTCTCAAGACCTGAAAATTATTTTAGATGTTCTTATGGGGTTAAACATTTTCTGAAATGCCATGTATATTAATGTTTATGCCATGAAAAAAGAAAAGCAGAAGAAAGGGTGAAATGACCTTCGCGCATTAAAACCAATAATGTAAAAATAAAGAACAACAACATTGCACTTGCTATTTTGTAGAAGTGAAAGCGTCTGTAATGAGCCTACTCTCTACAGGCACTTTCACTTCTACAAAATAGTGAGTGCAATTTTGTTGTACCTTTAAAACACTATTGGTTTCAATGCATTAAGGTCATGACGCCCCTTCTTCTGCTTTTTCTTCCTCATCCAGTTTATGGACTATCCCAATCCTTTTATATAAGGTGCTACAAGGCCAATAAATCCAAGGATTCCATCTGACTTGTAGAACTCTTTCACACAAGTGTTTTTCCAGTCTGTTTTTGACCCATGATTACAAGGATCACAAAAGGATCCAAAAACCAGTTCATTGGTGAAAAATGAATTCCTATGGACGGTCAGATGAAAGTGCATATGTGTTCACCTATATCTGCCAACATCCCCACCTGTTCAAGTTCATTGGACTGAACGTAAAACGTTTGCGCCAGTGTCCTGGATATGAGCAGATATAGATGGCCACATGTCGGTTTCCACCAGCCACCCATAGGGATTACATGGGTACATTTTCCCTCAATCACTGGATAACGGCAAAATCAGAATGGACACAGAGGTCGGAAATGTGACATCTGTCTAGGTTCCCCTGCTGAGATGGAACTGAGGGCACACTGGTTGCTTTCTGAAAAACTATCACCTGGGAACCCTGAAGCACAAGTTCAACTGTTCCCTTCTTCTGTCCGCTGAATGTTTTTGCCATTTGTTAGTTCAGAGTGTCCGTAGGAGACCTCCTGAGTTAATTGATCAGAGATAGGAAGTGCAATATAGATGTGCTAAAAATAGGATTTTTGTACTCACTGTAAAATCCTTTTCTCCCCGTTCATGGAAGGACACAGGGAACAGATCGTAGGTCATGTACCATAGGGTATATCGCCCCCTTCAGGAGAAGGACGCTAGGCAAAAAACCACAGTACATGATCTACGATCTGTTCCCTGTGTCCTTGATTGAACGGAAGAGAAAATCATTTTACATGTAAAAGAGATGTATGTGTTACCCCATTCTCAGGATTCTATCACCTGTAACTGAGAGACGGAGGGAACAGTCACTATCAAAGGACGAGACATTGAACCTCGAGGGTCCATTCACACACGTGTGCGGTTGAATAGGCATGTGCTTTTGATATTGCATTTAGTCATCAGGTGCATTGTGTCCCTGGGGAATAAGTGGGCAGGAATAACAATATGCAGAATTTCTTACGCAGGCTCAGGGCCACATAAACTATTGTTGGTGGACCAAATATGTGTAACAAGGAAACCTGCTTTTTTTATGTGCCAAATAATAGTTCAATTTGAAGGGTTTGAAATAAAAGATGCGACTAGTGCGTCGATTATTTAAAAAAATCCCAAGTGGGACTTTACAAGACAAAGCAAAAGGAATACACAAAGCACACCAAGGTTCAAGGAAGAATAGACTGGGCTCTTGTATATAGACAATATTTGCTTATCCTGAAGCTAACAGCCTGGTGTCCGAGTTGCCAATGTTCTTATGTAAGTTCTCAATGGCACTTGTAAACCCTCAAATGGCTGGTGTCATAGCCGGTCACATAGCAGATTGATGTAGAGGACAAGATGGCGCCCTCCTTGGTGTATAGGTGGGATAACTTCCGCTTTAATAAAATGAGATACTTTTGTAGTGTCCTTTCAGAGAATAAAGTCCAAAAAATGTCACCAGCACACCATTTCAACATAAAGCAATACGGTTTTAAAGACACATGAATGTCATTCAAATACAAACGTTTTCGATGACATTCATGTGTCATTAAAACCGTATTGCTTTATGTTGAAATGGTGTGCTGGTGACATTTTTTGGACTGATATTACACGGTGCCGTCCATGGTCACTTCAAGCACCTGCCTGGTGTACAGGTGTATTGTCTTTCTATTCAGTAAGGAGTGCAACAGGACACTTTTGCATATGACTCTTTCAGAGAATAAGTCTCAGGAAGTCATCACCTGTATGTCGTGGCACCATACAGATGATGTGCAATTAAATGAGACCTTTAGCTTGTTCACAATGAATTTAATAACGACCCGAGTGGCTGAAGAGCACCTGCCTTGCATTGTTTTTAAATGGATCATAATAACGCATACTGTTTTATATTCCAGCAGTGCTGATAAACTTGTGGCTTCATAGTATAGTTCTAGTAAAAACAGAAAAAATGGCAAGCACACTACCGTAATGGTGACTGTTGGCTGTTTTTGGGTGAGCAAGCTTCTAAACCAGGGAGAGGAACCCTGTATACAGATATGAAAAATACAAAAAGGGAGCGCTACAACCCAGACATTTATGATCCTTGTTGGGTTAATGTCACTTCTTCTCGGTGACATTAGGCATATAGCCTCGAAACGCGTACCCGACTTCCCAGACCGACATCCCCACCACCAAGGGAGACTGACTGCCCGGTCCCGTAGTCTTGGGCTCGATCTCCAACGATCATTTACACCCATTGGTTGCCGACAGCCCTCCACTTCTGTGGAGCGGTATTTCCATTCTGCCGACGGGTTCCAGCCTGGCCAGCTGAGTACCCACGGCGCTTGACTGCAATAACATCTCCAGTGCACAACTTGTTCGTACACATGGCTGCATGACGCCACCTCCAGCCAACGGAAACACTCATATGTTCCAGCCACAGGAGCCTCTCGTGACCTAAGCTGCCAGCACCATCCATTCTTCACTGACAGTGAACCATCACATCCATGTATCAGTGAGTCTTTGATTCCTAATATTTGCAGATACTTTCATCATGTATAATACTGCAATCCATTCATGAATGAACCCAACAAGGATCATAAATCTCTGGGTGGTAGTGCTCCTTTTTTATAGTATAGTTCTGGCCTGACATCATCGGGAAGAGAGGCATCAGAGAAGCTTCTGTTCTGGTTAGTAACAGCAAGTTAGGGTCAGGAACCAGATCTGAACTCAGAGCCTCTGCTGTAGCTGGCAGTGGTTCTACCTGCTGAGCCACCTTAGAACCTTGAATAGCTCCTTGCTGGATCTCCTGTGTAATCCTCAGTTAAACCTAGTTTCTGCTCAACTCTGAACTACTTCCTTGAACTTCCTATTTAAGCCACGCCTCTGCACTTCCTGTTTGCCAGATTATTGTGCTCCTGCCAATATCTTGCTTCCTTGCTCCTCCTGTGATACAATCCGCTTATACTGCTACCCGTGTACCTTTGGCTGCTGATTCACCGACTACTCTCATCGTCTTCCACTTCATACCTGATACCTTTGGCTACTGACTTTGGCTTGATCTCTGACTACACCTCTGCCTGCTCCTATACTTCTACCATCTGCTTGTGTACCAAACCCGACCTGTTTTACTACGACTTTGCCTGCTGTTTCAGCTACTGGACTCCGAGCCTGATCCAGATCGTGACGGTTAGTTATCACTGCCATTGAACACCAACGATGGGGCTTATTGTACTCCAACAATCTCTTGAATGTACCCCCCAGGTCCTATTTGTCTAAGATCCCACCCACACTTGAGTGTCTTTGGTCATTTTTTTATTGAGTGTGTGTTAAAGTGTTTTGCCTGCATTTCAAGCTTGAGCATTTTTGTTATTATTGTTATTTTTAGCCAATGGAAAGCTACTTGCAAGGCAAGGAAATGTACTTTGAAGTCTGTTGGGCCAAAACTCACTGCTGCTGTTCAAGGGTGGCTCTGTTGCTTCCATTGAGAAGCCACCCAAAAGCAGGATGTGTGTTACTGGCTGGATCACCAGGTAAAAACAAAGGAAAAAAAGCCTAAAAAAGGAAGACTCGTGCAGC